CTAGTTCCCTGAAAACCATCCCGTGTGCATCTCCTCACCCCCAGCTCAGACCGGCGTGGAGGCCTGGGGCGAGGGACCTAGCAACGCCCCTGGAAGTCATGGGCGGGCTAGTTCCCTGAAAACCATCCCGTGTGCATCTCCTCACCCCCAGCTCAGACCGGCGTGGAGGCCTGGGGCGAGGGACCTAGCAACGCCCCTGGAAGTCATGGGCGGGAGAACCGCGGGCCGCTTTCCCCACAGCGACGAGGCAGGGAGCACAGGCACCCCGAGAACATGTTCCCTCTGGCCTCAAAAGCAGGGACCACCTCTTTCCAAGTAACACCGAGGCTAACAGAGCCCCTCAGTCAGGCCTGGGGGCGAGGGGAGGGGTAAGAGGCAGTGGCTTTCAAACGGGTGTTAGGTAACGCTGTTTGGCTACTTTGTAACCTGCGGAACTCCTTGCCACTAGATAGTAGGAGTAAGCCATTCTTGGAAGACCAGCTGCGGCTCCAGCCAGGATCCAGCGAGCAGGGTGCCCGTGCAGTGGACAGCAGAGCATGGGAGGAAGCAAGCAACTGATTCCGCACTCCCGCTGGCAGGAGAATGCCCCAGGGCCAGCGTCCCCCCCCGCATCGGGGAGGTTAACTTACGACAATCCTTCTCGTCCTCGCCATCGCCGCAGTTGTCCTGCCCGTTGCAGCGGAAGATGCCAGGGATGCAGCGGTTGGTGTTGGTGCATTTGAACTGGCTGGGGGGGGGGGGGGGGGGGTGTGTGAGGGGGGGATTTCGTGCCTCACTTGGACGTGCGCTGCTGCTACAGGGGCCCTGGGGGGACCCAGGCGTCCGGGGGCCGTACCGCAGTTGGCCTCGTCCGAGTTATCCTGGCAGTCGTTGTCTCCGTCGCAGATGAAGGCCGGGTTGGTGCAGATGCCGGTGGAGCATTGGAACTGGCCTGGGCGGCACTTGAACTCAGCTGGGGGAGAGAGAGGGGAGGTGTCACCTCGTGCCAGGCCACCCCTGGGATTTCCTGCCCCCAGGGGCCTCAGCAGGGACTAGACCCTGGACTGCCAGCACCACTATCCTAGGCCCTTCATTGCAGGAGGCAAAGGAGTAGCCCCCTCTGCGGAGAGCTGCAGTAGGTTGTTATCCCTCCCCATGGAGAAGTGTCACACTGGCCTCCTCCGCACGCTGGATTCAAGGGGGCCGCAGGGGTGGCTGGATGCTCGCCCCTAACACACCTACAACACTCACATAGGGATCGTTTGCCTCATGGAAATGCAGCCACCTCTGGGGTGGAACCTGGCTGCAGTGTGACAGCGCACAGCAACGCTGCACAACCGAGGCGGAGAGGGAGCAGAGGTGCAAGGGGAGAGCCCCCCCGCGGAGTCACTTTGCACCCCCCAATGCTCAGCCCTGCTGGAGCCTGGGAACAGCACAGAGTCAGTGAGGAGCGCCCTTACTGGATCACCAGCACCCTCCGCCCTGGTGCTCTGCAAGGCTTTGGGACCCCCCCCCGGCCGGAGGGGCAGCGCTGCTCTCCCTGCTGCGCCAGGGGTGGTGTGGGTGGGGGTTT